TATTCGCATCTGAGTCATTTTTGTTAATCGTTGTTTTGCCTTGTGCACAAGAAACTTTGGCCAGTACATCTGTGGTAGTTGARAGAGARAGGAGRGAGRAAGGAGGAAGGAAGTTATTGCTTTRAAGAAYAATAAGYATRCMRYKGTAAGTWRAAAAACAWGTTAAWAATTCATTACCARATGTTTATCAATGATTTCAAGAGCCTTTTCGTAATTTCTTGGCAATTTAACTCTTTCCCAAAGTTTGTTTGGCATGTGAGCCCTTTCTATTGTTTTCATGTAAAAATAGAATACTCCTGCATAGCGCAAGAAAAAACAAATCAGGTAAATAAGCAATGTACACCAACTAGAGTTCATCGGAGGATCCAAAAGAAAATTTTAGGTCCTCCGATAGAGTCACTCTACCAAAGTACATGATTAGAAATTTTCAATCCTTCATCAGATTAACAGAGTACCGGTTTCCACTAAAAACATACAAACTAATTGAACAAACTGCAGAACCAGAAAGAAGTAGTCTTGGATAATCCTTCGATGAAACCAGACTAGATTCTTTAGACAACTTCCTATAAATGTCAGAACATTTAAGACGACCACAATGGCTTATCCATCAACAAAAAATTCAAGTTAACTTCATGATCCAGAAGAAAATATTAGATCAATATAATCCAAGTATATTGTAATTCCTATTGCAGCCAAGTTATTCATTAATGAGATTACATAAAACACTTCTCCTATTACAGCCAGCCGAACCTTTAACTCATACATCCTGTATGCCCAAGGATTCAAATGACAACCCTTTTTTTTTTATTTGCCTTGCTTACTCCTTTTTTTCCTGAAACTTGAAAAAGCAGCTACCTTCTTGTGGGTTATTTTATATATAAAGAAAAAGCTATAGCATCTTTATATCATTTCAAGAATTACAAGATAATAAGCTGCAAATCAGTACCATCATGATCCCGAATGGTAGCATACCGGCTATTAGCCAGAGGACATGAGCTACGGTTGCAAATCCCAGTTACATTATATGGGTTTCGACAAAATATCCCAGTCTCAATCCTGTGAATATTGCACCAAAAAGAAATCAAATAAAGACGTCATGACAAACAGAAGTGAAACACAAATCAAAAAAGAACTCACTTGGCCATGAAGCTGCAATGCTTGTGTCTGATAACTTGCCATATGACCTCATCGTGCTGCATCTTTTCTCACTTCTAAACCTAGTCAGAGACAATGGGTGCTTAATTTTCTGAAAGTAATACCCCCTCTGTCCAATTTTCGTGGAGGAGTGAGGAGTGCGAGGGTCAAAACTTTGGTGTAGATTCTTCAAATGTCAAAATAAAATTCACATACTTGAAAACTACACGAGCAG